TTCCTCCAGCCAGGAACAGTCCTGAAACTTTATTGCCAAACCTCGTGCATATATATATTCAAGGTAAAAAATATGTAAAACAAAAATTTGCTCTTCAATTTGCAATAACCCCTTAGATATGTTTAATTTGGTTATCTCCAGTGTCTATTCTAAAAATAGCAAATGTTGTTAGCACAAAAAGTCTAAACTGCTGCGATTGTAACTAGTAGTTTTTCATGAATCGGATTTCATCATCAGGCAGCTACGTCGTTATTAAAAAACGATATGATATATATATATATATATATATATATATATATATATTAAAGATAAGATGTTTATATGCGTGTAATTACTTGGACAGGTTTTTATGCGCAGATGAAATGACGGACTTGCAAATGTGGCCGTTGATTCAACATAGAGCTTTTTTGTTTGTTTATTTTGTAATAAAGCAAACCTTCATAAGTATAAATAGATTCACATATCATCATTATAGGTTAACTATGTACCCCACAATTGTGTAACTATTTACATCCTTAAACAGTGGTCAAAGTAGAGCGATGAGAAGCGATGCATATTCGCAGCAGCAAGCGAAGTGGGAAAAAAGTGTATCCATCAGCAAAGAGCAATATATACTCTCTTGCAGTGCAGCATGATGACATAAGACAGCATGAAACGGATTAATTTTGAAAGACGAGCAGTGAAAGTTATTATAAGTACGGATTAAAGCAAGACCATGTGGCATATGTGGCTCTATTTAGGCATATTAAGTGTGCCGGGCTTTGCTAACTTCTCAGCCTCCGCTGCAGATGGAATTCAAACGGACAAAATCCCATGCGACGGTTCAAAGTTCTCCCACACCTCCTTTCCTACCACCAACTTCTCGAGAGGATTTCGGCTCGCCGGGTAGTTTGGGTGCGCTCTTGCAGCACAGATGCTTATAAACATCCATGCTTTCTCCGGGATTTGAAGGCGGGCACTTCGACAAGGCAGTGAGCGTCGCTAACCCCTATACTGGCTGGGCAACGAGCCTTATGGCCGAACGAAGGTTAGCTAGGTGAGCTGGGGGCTGTACCTCTTTCAATTACCGGTTGCGCAGCGACAATCCATTACAGGACAGGAAAATGTGGACGAAGCACCACAACTTCGCTTATACCAGTAGATTTAAAGGTGTTGCTCCGTCGCATTGACGTAGCAATACAGCACTTCGTAAACACTAAGAAAGTGTAACAACAAGCAATGTTTCGCGAGTCGTTGTTTGTTGCGTTCATGTTCCAGTGAACCGGAAGCGGTCGCCAGATTTGACTCCACCTGGCGTTTTCTTGTAGGATAACCTTTAAGGAAAAGTATACATGGAAAAGTATACATTTTTATTAACAGATTGGCAACACAACTACTTAGTGGCTGTGTGAAACTCTTAAGCGTCAATCATTAGACCCGAAGAAATGGGAGGCTAAAAAACGAATTACTGAGCTAACGCTCAAACTATACGCTACCCTAAAATATGAATAATGATTCAGAGTAAGTTCACGCTTGTTTTCAGTAGTGTGTGCAAAATGTAAATAGCTGTACCGAAATAACTGAAGTGTTTTTGTCTCATTAATTCGAAATTTTCTTGGAAATTTCTTGCGGAAATTTTTAGACTTGAGAAACGAGTATTTTTTCATTAAATTGCATTATTTCGGAAAAGATTGCTTGGATTATACAAACATGTTGCTAGGAAAAAAGATTGTAATTTACTGCTAGGTATTTTAACCTGCGATTACTACATATTGTTTAATCTCACTCTGTGAGTTTGTTTCCAACGTGTGTGAGCTAGGAGAAGATTTTAGTTCTTTAACTGTTGTTGTAAGCTGAGAAGTTTCAAATGAATAACTATATTTTATAGTCAGCGTTTCATTCAAAATTATTTATCGCGTTGAGTAAAGCCACAATGTAGTTAAAAGATAGAGATATGTTCCTGATTACTTTCTGAATGCTAAATGAAATTATTATCTTCACACTTGAATTCAAAATTAAGTGAAATCAAGCAAAGATTTACAGATCTTTTTTCTTAAACCTTTGAATTAATTTTCTTTTCCTTTTCGTTACAGTGAGTGCAGATTTTTTTAACAATTAAAGTTCTAAAATTTAATGTAAGTTCTCAAAACCTCATTAGCTCAAAGGGTAAGCCTAGAAGGGTTATTAGTCTCGAAACGGCATTTTGCGTCGAATCACTTAAATGTGATGTATCACTTTTCAAATTGTTGCCATCAAATATTATCGCCCTGTATTATATTTAAAGAAACTAAATAATAAAAAATCTGCACGAATGTATGTATGCTTCTCGCACTGTGGGGGAAAAAACTTCCACCCGAACCTAGAAGCTCGAATTTAAAATTTCGAATTTGCTTTATATATTTTTTTTAATTTTAACGAATTTTTGATTAACAAACTCAGCGATTTCGAAGCGGGCAATGACAGCACTGTACAGGGAAAAAAATATTTCCAGCATGCGAGACTGTCTATCAGAAACTTTAAAGATATACTGTTTTTAAATATTTTTAGCCCAAAGAGACATTACCCCAAATGCTCTCGAAACGTGTTATGTGCGTGTAAATGAAAAAAAAAATACCCCTTTGGGAGTAATATATACTCTTATTTTATTAAATTAAATAGATGAGAACAGAACTAGGATTATGCTTTTGCTTCCTGGGCGGTATAATACTTAGTGAAGACTGATTGCTACACCGAAATTAAGGGTAAGGGTTCAAATCACATAAAATTTGGCTGTATCGTCATTTCTTCTTTTCCTGCGGCTGTAATAACACTGTCGTTGATCAGGCAACTAAATAATGATGAGTTCGCCTATATTGCTCAAAGAATGCTGAATCAGCAAATATTCGGCATTTGATTAAGAAAGGAAAAGACTGTATTTTTGAGTAATATTGGCAAAGTCGTATTTATTAAATTTTATATTAATATTTTTTAACTTACATATGTTAAATGCTCAGATCATAGTTCTGAACATATAATGAAACTTTTTATTACCAGATATTAACTATTATATATGATTACTATTAACAAATTTTAATTATCATTTTAATGATAAATAACCCATATAAAAATCGACATTTCCATAAGAATAATCGCTAATTCATCACGATTTTTTTCTTTTGGACCATTTGATATAGACGTAATCATTAACATTATAAAATAACAAAAGTTGATCTATGTGCTTTCGACTTCTGAATTATTTAAATGCGGAAGAAATAATTACTTTCTCACAAAACAAGTTTTCCTTAAAAAGAAACACAAAGGTAGCACAGTTAAGTTGCAGACTTATAATGCTTGGTTATCTAAGTGTATCGCTCTCCTTGTGAATACTCAAAAGCTGTTACTGTTGAAATAAATACTGAGATGGCATTACAGTTAATTGACTGCTCCTTCCATCTCCGGCAAGTCAAATGAAAAATAATAATCCCTCTTCTTACGGAAGCTTATAATTTTTTGAGTGATAAACCGCCCACGAGGAGTTGAACCACCATTCTAATGACTACTGTCGAAATTCGGCCTTTTCAGAAGCAATCTTATAATAATAACTTCGAGCTCGAATTGCCCTTTCGAACGAGTCTGTCTCGCTTCAGACTAAACGACACCTTTTATTTCCTTTTTAACGAGTGGCAACGACGAGAGCGTGACGAAAAAGGTTTTCTTTGGTTCTTTTTCGCTAGCCGTTTTCTTTATTATTTTACCAGCATTTATGCTGCTAAAAATGAAGGAAAGTAAAATTACTACTCGTGACTTGTGTTTCAGAATCAGGAAAAAATTAAATTTTGTAATCTAGGTTTTAGAAGATTGAGTTGAAATGTTTTCAAAACAATATCATTGAAGAATTCAAGAAACTGCATATCAAAGAGATATCAATACTACATAACTGAAAGCAAAACAGTTTTGAAAAGGTATCTGCTAAAGATACATAATAATACATAGAGAGTAAAACTGCTTAAGAAGCCTTACCTCTAAATTTTATTACAGTCACTATGGAATTACGTTTCACTATGCGAACACATTCGTCAGACGCATGTTTCACATGTTGTATATGTGTACAAATTTACAATCGCTTTCATCTAAACAATATTTTCAAGGAATAATTCGAACTTCTTTTTCTATGATGAGTTCAAAAATTCTTTTGTATCCTTTAAAGTTACCTAATATACTAATTTTTTAAATAAATTTTAATTAATAGTTAATCATAAGCTTCAACATTAAAGTTTCAGTCAAAATCGTTTCAAGGAATAAATTTAAAATGAATTATTTTACAAGGAACTACCGTATTTACTCGCGTAATAGTCGCACCCCCGTTTTGAAGCAGAAAAAAGTCGTCAAAACTGTACAATATTGTATAGTAGATTTCCCCTCATAATAGTCGCACCTAAACTTTCATAATAAGAAAAGTGCGACTATTACGCGAGCAAATACGGTAAAATATTTCTCTCGTGTAACAAGTCAAAGACAAAAATTTTCATACCTTTACGAGCAAAATTCGCAGCGTACAAAATGACTGATTTATATCATTTTCAGTGCTTCTGTCCATATTTCAACTGATTTAAGATAAAATTATGAAACAAAAAGTTTCAGTTTGGAGATTAATGGCTCTGTATTATCTAAAACAGCACTCGTCTATTCGTTATAAAATTGTTAATTACTAATATCTTCACAAACTGTGTACAAGTTTATGGTAGTTATGTATGGTATGGTTATTCTCTACTTAATATATAAATTCTAGATTCATAAAACTTTTCTACCTTCTAAATTAAAGTCATTTTTAAAAAAAATTTCTGTGCTATGTTTAGACACTTCGTAACCGAAAATACATTCTAAGCTGTATGTATTTGCTTAATACATTGCATATCTATATTTCTATGCATAGCATATACGCATGCAATAGCATATTTGTATTTCTACTCATAATAATTAAACAAGCAAATTTAATTATCATTTTTAAAAGAGAATATTTTATGATATTCATAATGACTTACCATTTTGAAGAATAAACTACACAGGTACGCTAGGGAGGCAATTTGAAGAAACCTGCAAGAAAAAAAAAGTTTATTAATTTTGAACTTACAAATTTCGAAACAAATCGAACATGTTTAGAATGACTTAGAAACATAAAAAAGAGAATCATAATTCTCGTGTTATCTCCACATGAGAAATCCGTAATCACTTTTTAAAAAATTATTTTATCAAAATTTATTTTCAAATAACAACATAAATTCTTTGTAATAGACGTGTTTGAACAAATTTATTTCCTTGTTGCAAAACAGACGATAAATCTGGAAAATTCCAAGTTTTTGCAGCATAAAGTCGTAAGTTAACTTGTTGTTGTACCGATTGAGAAGCCAGTCCTCAGTTATCAAGACGAAGTAATGTTACAAACTGGTAAGTTTTTAGAGTCAGCCAAAGAATATTACTAAACTCCTGCTAAAGAGAGAAGCATTGAATAAAAACAGAAGCATTAAAACGAGGAAGAAAAAAAACAGTTTTTTTAAATATTTTATTTAATTAAGTTCTAAAGCATCGCAACACAACAGAGTTCAATTAATTTAGTTTATGATCGCAAGTGCATTAATTTTCTCTCACACAGAAGAAGCTTTCGAACAAGCTAAACTACGAGTATTTCTAATGCAAAATCAAATAAATTCCAGATACTGTGATCAAGAGATTTCCTGAGTATAAAAAATACTAAATAAAAATGGCAGTCAACTTTTTCTTCTCCCTAACCTCGCCCCACCTCCAAAAAAAATTAAATAATGATTTTTTTATTATTTAATACGTTTTACAAGTTTAAAGCATGACATTTAAAAGGAATTTTATTTTGATACGTAATTAAACTATTTACTTCTTAAACACACATTTTCCATCGTACATAAGTACATTTAATAGTGTTTATTCGGTATGTTTGGAAATTCTATGCAATTCTTCTTTGATATTGGATTCTATTATTTTTAACTAGCTGAGTACCCAGCTTTGTTCAGGGAGTTGATATGAGATTGTGTGATAGCTGGAATAAACTTTAAAATATAAAAGGTAATTTTTTTATTGTAAACATATTCTAACTATTTACAATACTTGTTTATAAACAACATTTTTCATTTTGTTATCCGAGGTATATGTGTACAAATTTACTAGCTACATACAGCTGACCTTGAGGAAAGCAGTAGTCTTTGAGGTTGATGCCGCAATGTTTTAAAGTATGTTCTTGAGCCTTGTAAAACTATAGGCTAATTTGATTGGAAACTGCAGTCTTTTAAATTGGAATGGCAGTTCAATAGATATCAGTGGTATTCTGGGGATAAATACTGTGTGTTCTTTCCAGTCATAAGTTCGGCTTCGATGACGTTATTCAATAGCTGTTTAACGACCCTCCTTGTTCCATTACATAATTTGGTGAGTTGAGATTTCTGAGTAGTATCATCGAGATCCAATTTTTAGTCGAAGGCAGTATAATGACATTCCTGGTACTTGCAAAGAGTTTAAAAATTCTACAGGGAAACACTTTCTTCAACGTTTACCATCGTGTCAATCGATTTGTATGTTCTCCCTTCACCGGGAATCCTCTTTTGAATATTTAAGTTGATATCATCGACAAAACATCATTTTTAGTTGCCAAAATTGAAATATCCACACCGCATTGGTGTGTTTGTGTTTTTATATATTTCTTCTCGGGTCGTAGTGGAATGCTTCATTTGTTAGGTTGTACTGTTTACTTATCCTCGTCAGGGCTTCTCGTAGGAAGATATTTTCATGGGTTATGAAATGGGTGATGGAATGCTTTCACAGTCTTTTATTATAAGATAGTGTCGCAATTGATTCTTCAATTCGTTCATTTCGTTGTTCTTCGGTTTCTCTGCTTCTCACGGTGCTCATCCTCCTTCGTTGGGAACGTAAACGTGGTTCGCGCTCTTCAACTGTTTCGATTTTTCGCTGTTCTTTTGGTTTTTGCCGTTTTGCTTCAGAACTGACAAGATCTCCTCCTCTTTTACTTTTGGGCATTCTAAAAAATATAAATCAAATCAACTTTTTATTAAGAAATACATTAAGTACACTTTACATACTTTTCAAACTTGATTTTCCATTTATATTCAGTCACTGTATCACTTTGATTACTCACACTTCACTGTTTATTTTTTTTTTCACTCGCCCCATTTCACTGATAAGAAACTGATGTTCCGTAATGTTCCCGAACATTCCAGAATATTTCGGGATGTTCTGGAATGTTGCGGAATGCTCTCGGATATTCTAGACTGTTCTGGGAATTTCTAGTGGGTAAAACTTCCAGCCCTTATATCTTCAAAAGCACGCTCTTGAGGTAAAAATGGGAACCTTTTTCATGGATGTGGCATAGAGGTCTACCACAACATATGATCGTACCGGGACTCGTTTCTGAGTTTTAGCGGCATGCACATTGTACACTTACTTTCAAAATATATATTGATTAATTTTGTTCTACTACGAAGAACATTTTGTTACTTAAAACATTTTGCTGCACTAGAACGAGGAAATGCTTATTTAACCTTACTAAGTGCCTCTTTTGCAGACCATATGCCACATTTTATGCACAGATTTTGATGCATCTAAAAAATTAATTGCGAAAGAAATATGAACAGCAGAAACTCAAAGTTTCCAACATCGATTGCTATAATATTTAGAAAATAAATAAATAAAAAACAATTAATAAATTTCATTTTATCTTTATCAAAATCCGATGTATGAACTTATAAGTAAAGATGCTTTCCTTGCTCTCTAGACATTATATGTACAGACAACTGTTACTGATATTTTGGAGCAATCAATTTTTGGTTCGTATTTGTATGGAAATTAAGTTCTGATTAGGTGTGCTTAGAGCGAGGAAAGATTTAACACATTTAGGTCTGGTATTAAAATGATAAATATTGTTCAATTACCGCAGCGATTATAAAGTTTGTGATTTTGTGATTTATTTATATAATTTTGCAACTAATTTTGAAACGTGCCAGTATTTTTTTAACTATCCTTTTTATAAAGATATTTTTATCACTTTAATTGTAATGTTGAAAAAGAACTTTTTTTTTCAGACTTATCTCAAAGTATCGTGCTTACTTACCTTTTTTGCAGATCATTTATTTACTTTTTTTTCAGATTCAGTATACCATATATGTGAAGCTGTCTCATAAAAGTAAGCCATTTTTCTTTATTTACAAAGCTCCGTCATTTATTGTGTGATTTTTCTTGTATCAGTATTTTATTTTCTGATCAATAAGGATATACTACAAAATCCTATGACCATACCTTCATGAAAAATAAATTAATTAAAAGTTAAAAAAAATGGTGGAAAATAAAGAAACTCCGTTGAAGAAATTTCAGTGAAATTAAAGAAGTTTACGAATGTTACAAAGAATTACCAAATCGAAATGTATAAAGATATAATGGAAAAGGGGATCCTAGGTAGTTAACAGAATAGAAAGTATGATTTGATTTGGGATACTGAGTTTACTTAATTCTGAGATCAAAGAATTAGAATAAAAGATTAATTGACTTAACATATTAACGAGGTAAAGGAAGGTCAAGCATAAGATCTTTAGAATAAGAAAAAGTTAATTTTATAAAACACAAAACTCGGATAAAGACAATAATAATGAATGAGAGATTAAAATATTGATAAATAAAAGCCTTTTTAATCTTACTGTTATTATTTACGCTTTAATACATTCATTTTGTTTTTCGCAAATTATTCAAAATCACAGCAATAAAAAGTCTTCTTTGTAACTGAGAAGTCTAGGAGAAAATCAGGATATTTGACAATCTAATTAGAAAAGGAGAATTCCCGGAAGCCAGATATGAAATGGAAGCACGTTTTGATACAATCGTTTAATTACATCGCTTAAATTTCCATGTCGCAAGGGGGTAAAGATAAACATCCCTTTCAATGAAATTCAAATTTCAGAATAAAAATAGTTGGTGCTGATTAGAAGCGGAGTGTCTCAACTGTTTAATCTGGTCCTCTGATCGACAGCGAAGGCGAAGATGGACTCCTCACGAGATGATTTATAAGAGGCGAAGCTCTTTTATCACCACACCGACTTTTAATAGGCGAGTTCAGCAATCCTTTAATTGGCTGCAATCTACCGCCTGACGATTTAGAACACGCTCAATTATCTTCCCTACAGGTAGTTATCCTTGCGTCCCACCCTACGACAGTCGATGAAATTCTCGCCAAGTAATGAACGCCTTGAGAAAAGTTAATGAGTTATTGAGAAAAGTGGCGAAAAGAGTGTGCAGCAAAATTCCGTCACCAGTGTCGTAAAAGTGTTGGCGGCTGTTCAATTAAAATTTCATAGGTAAATGAGTTAGTTGCCGGCTCTGAACTAGGACGGAATGAACTTAGTGGATGCAGGAATTTTGAGCGTTATCTAATATACTACGTTGTAATTCACGACAATCTAAAATAACACACACAAAACAAAATCACCTTTCTGATCTGTTAAAAACATTCTCTGTTACATTTATTATTGAATTAAAAAAGTCCCTTCGTATGTAATACACGAGATACTTTGAATATTTCATTCAAGGATGAAAATCTGAAAGCCTTGATTTTGCTCCATGTCTCACAGAAGAGCTTTGGGTGAAACAAATACATAAATTTCTAACAAAACATTACAATTTCTGTAAGATTCAGATACAGATAAATATACAGCGAACGCAAAAAGTTACATTTGGGATGTCGGAACGACCTGATTAAATATTTCCCTAAATACTACAGTAAAAGTGTTTGCCATTTAGTATTTAAATAAAGCAGCTATTAGAATTTAGCCACGCTACTTCATTTTCTGGCATTAGAAATATACATAATATTACAAGTTCTTTACTTCTCTCTTCCTAGATCTTGTAACCTACGCACTTAATTAGCAGCGTAAGTATCATAAGCAAAATGCTGTCATAAAAATCAGAAGTATTGCTAATGAAATAAACATCAGTATTGCAAAATATATTGATGTAGATATAAAATTACCCTGACGTTTTGAATTTATTTTACAAGAAATATAACTTTT